AATTAAATAAACTTCTCTATCGGTATGCAATAGGTTTTTGGGCAGTAGAGTTACTTAACGCTTTGTATCTGTTTATTTTTTAACCATAGTAGTGTACACTTGGTGGTGATTAACATTTAGCATTATAAATTATTTTCATGTTTTTTAGGGGGAAGGTTGGAAATGTCTAGGTTGTGTCAATTCAGCTCCTAAACTAAATTTATCTGAGCATGTCTTCTAGTGATAAAAAGCCAGAACATCAGTATTTGGCCAGATCTATGTCAGAAAACTGCCATGTTGAAGTGGATTAAATGTACACTACACAATACATATCTACTTTGTTCTAGAGGTAATATATAGTACCCTGTTTCCCCTAAAATAAGACCTAACCTGAAAATAAGCCCTAGTATGATTTTTCTTTTTCAGGATGCTTGTAATATAAGCCCTACCCTCAAAATAAGCCCCAGTTATGTGAAACCCCACCCTCCACCATTGTGCGGCAACCAGAAGAAGATGACATGACTGTATTTGAATAAATGCAGATTGTTGTACATAAAAAAAAATAAAACATCCCCTGAAAATAAGCCCTAATGTTTTTTTGGAGCAAAAATTAATATAAGACCCTGTCTTATTTTCGGGAAAACAGGGTAGTAATAATTACATGCCATCCAGTCAATTAAAACTTATGGTGACCCTTTCTAGGGTTTTCTAGGTATAGAATAATTAGAAAAAACAAGTAATAGTATTGAAGGGTGCATTGATCTAAATTGCCCAGGAGAGACAGCAAGTTGAAGTAAAATTACATGGCAAGAGTAAGTTATATAAATGTTTGTTTTAATCTCATTTATATAGCCTGGTATGTTTAGTCAATTGGTGACTGCAGCAGAGGAACGTCCGTGGCTTTGGATTATATATATTTTGACCTTAGCACTACCTGTAGGATTGGGCATACTCTTCTGCTGGCCATCCAAGGTATGTGAGACATTCATCTGGTATCTTCATGTTCTTCTACAGAGAGCAAATCATTTTCTTCATATTTAGTTCTAGGTTGGTTTGTTTTTGGTCCAGTGTCAATTAACTGCAGTGGGAGAAAAGGTATGGAAATTCAGCAGACATGCTTCAGTGACCTGAATATTTTTAAAACATTTAGTATTTAAAAGCCAACATTATCAGCTTTTATCAGTTTTCCTTCTATTTTAGAAAACAGATGAAGATGTAGACTACAAAAAAAGAGATTTAACAAAGCCATTTACAAAAGGAGAACTAGAACAAGAGGTACAAGTAAAGGATGAAGAACCAAAAATAGCAAATGAGAACACCGGGGAGGAGGGTAAGAGATTTTCACCATACTCAGTTGAAGTTGAAGTTTTTGGAGTGATAGCCTTTCGAATCTCTGACAGCATATTGGTCAAGAAACAAAACAAAGCAAAAGCAAAAGAATAAAGAAGACAAAAATGTTGTGGACATCTTAAAGACTAACTGCTGAGATTGTTTTATTAAAACTGAGATAATCTGGCTAAATAACAGTTTGTAAATAATAAGCACAGATCAGCAAGCTGTACGCATGAGAGATAATAAGGAACCTTTTTAAAGCTATAAGTGGCATCATTCCTCAGTTTCCACTCCTGCCTCTTACAACCCTTATATGGCTTATTAAACTTTCTTTCTTTCTTTCTTTCTTTTAAATAACAGTTTGTAAATAATAAGCACAGATCAGCAAGCTGTACGCATGAGAGATAATAAGGAACCTTTTTAAAGCTATAAGTGGCATCATTCCTCAGTTTCCACTGCTGCCTCTTACAACCCCTATATGGCTTATTAAACTTCTTTCTGTCTTTCTTTCTTTCTTTCTTTCTTTCTTTCTTTCTTTCTTTCTTTCTTTCTTTCTTTCTTTCTTTCTTTCTTTCTTTCTTTCTTTGTGCTTGAGTCCCTATAGATTTTTCAGTCCCTTCAAAATGGGACCAATTAGGGAGCAGGTGGACTTTTGCAAAATATAACAGTTTTTCTGCTGTGAGGAGGCACTTCAGCTGTCTTAGAAGAAAATGGTCCTTGGCATAGTTCCAGTATCTGGTCAATGGCAAAAAAACAAACAACCCCCCCCCAAAAAAAAACCAAAGAAAGGAAAGAAAGAAAGAACTGTGTATCTACAGTGTATGTACCACTCAAGCCTTGCCCTCGTGGAACAATTCATAAATTGACTTACCTATTTAAGAGCTTATGCAGACAATCAAATGGAATATTATAACATATAAACAGAGAAAATGTCCTTTTGAAAATGTTTAATATGGTTATCCTGCTATAGTCAATGTTACATTGGGTTTTCTCATGTTTAAATGAAATTTTTTTAAATTTATGCTGCCTGAATTCCTTATTTCCCAATACTTGATTATTTTTCTTTCCGACAGACTATAATGTACATTTGAGTCTGGTATAACTATAGGTGATAAATTCTGGTCTTCACTAATTGTTCAGTACTTCATATGCTGAAGACTGTTTGAGGAAATGTTCTTTTTTTCTCTCTCCAGTCATAAGACATAATTTCTTTCTATGAGCCCTTTGGCTATGATGTAAGAATATCTGCAGGCCCCTTCTGTCCTAATTTTTGCACTTCCCTATTTTTTTCCATCCCCTATTTTTTGTTTTCCTTAGCCTGATGAAAGGTTCTGCAGATCTTGCCCAATTGTGGATTTTTGTTTTTCTTTTGTTTGTAATAATTGGAATTTAAAAGTTTATTTTAGTTAATAAGTTAAGCAGAATTTTTGTCTTGTCATTAAGCCCCTAGTTTTAAAATATTTGGTTCCCACTATGTTTGGCTAACTTTAACAGAAGAGGGAGAAGGCACCACCAACCAGAAAGGCCAGGCATAACTTAAGTAGCAAAAATCCTGTCTAGTTTTTTCTTTTTTTGAACTGCATGCATGTCACTGAAAAAGCTGTGCCACATAAAACATTAGATTCCAGTAATCATAAACCATGGAGTACTACTTGGGCTCCTCCTGCTTCCCTCTCACTGTAGTCCCCGGAAAAGTTGTTGTTAAAGGCTGGGAATTCCTAATGGGTGGAAACAGTTAAAGAACCGGGACAATTTTCCCCCTTTTATATTTTTGTTGTTTTTATATTTTTGGTTCCTTTTACTATATCAAACAATGAAGAGAAACCACAGAGGGAATATTTATTGATTGATTGATTTATATCCCGCCCATCTGGTCTGGAAAAGGTGATGGGTAGAGGTAGTAAAAGTTTCCAGTAGGAACAGCTTTAACAGAACTGAGCTTTGTTCACAGTGGCTGAAATCCAGTAGTAAGCCATATCTAGAGGAGGTCCACTAAAGCAATGAGAATTTGGTGAGTCAGCTCCTTAAGTTCCATCAGTTCAATGCAGCAACTATACTTGTGACTTGCTATTGGATTTGAGCCAATATGAATGTACAAAAATTTCTTTTAAAATGTTGCAAAAGGGTGTGTCTGAATTTGGTGTTAATTTTTTTCAGCTAATTCTAAATATTACTCTGGAATAATTTGACATATAAAATATTAAAGTCTTAGTAGAATCGTAGAAAAATATTCCAAATATAAATAAACATCTAGATAAATAGAATGGCTGTTTGTAACTGAAACTGAACATCTTTACCTCAATAATGGTGAACAAGATAAATTCTCAGATCAATGTCAATTGTAACGTATTTTCCACTCTTACCAGTCTAGAGCTAAGATTGCATAATTATGTGACTCTATTGTTGACAAGCTCAACCATAACAGTACTTGGCACTGGATTTTTTTTCTCTGAAGAGTTCATCTGATCAGTCTTGACATATACTTGTTTAGTCATTGCATAATCATACAGATTATACTGATTTGTATCCCAGAGTATGAAGGTGGTGAAGATGAAGAGTATGAGGAAGAAAATGAAACTGCTGAGGGAAGTCAGGAAGAAGATGGCAATAAATCTCTTTCAGAGGATGAGGTGAGATTTCCTAGAAACAGCTACAGTATTTTGTCCACAAATGTAATTTGAGAAATGTTAAATGTTAGAGCCATGTCCAACATTGGGCATAATGCAAATTCCCCCCAGGGAAATGGGAGACAGAATTGAATTGGCCTGTAGCTGACACATTCACATTGAAATATACATATTTTAATTTGTATTTAAACCACTCTTAATTAGTTTCCATTTTAAAAAATGATTTTGCTGAGGTTTTTGTATTTGTCATGGTTAAACAACTTTGCAAGCAGTATAGTATTGCTGTTATTTGGAGACCTTGATTTTGTTCTGACATCTGTTGTACTTAGTCTTGTTTGCTGAATCAAATCTGGGGCTTTAGAATTCATTTTTTTACTTCTAAGGAACCCTGGTAATTCCGTATTAGCAGTTCTATAGGGGAAATATCAGCAGTGGCAGATGAGCTTCTTTGAAACCAGGCAGCTGCAGTGAAATGTGATGTGTGTATATGTAGATGTTCACCTTTATAATAACCTTAAAACTTCAGAGTTGGAAGGGACCCTATGGACATCAAGTCCAGTCCCTGCTAAGGAGGCACAGTGGGAAATTTAACTCCCAGTGTCTAGCTCCACTGAGCTGTCCTTTGGTTCATATCAGAAGATAGTGAATCCTAACATCCTCATGTTCCTAAAAATTGTATGTCCTCTAATATGCACTATAATTGTGGAAAGCATTGTATTCTAGACAGGCAGATACTCCTCAACAGACAGCTTAATAGGAAAAAAATTCAGTATAGGTCTAAAGTATTGAGTTGGGGAGGCTTTTCACCGTCCTCCACATTGCATTAAAGAAATGGAAGTTCAAAAGTACACGACTTAACTTTAAAAACTTGAGGAATTTTATTCATAAAAGCAATGAAATATTTAACCTGGTTTTTTTCATGTTCAGTGTAAACAACATTAAAATTGAAAGAATATTTTGAAACACAAGCTTAATATTTAGGTGCTTTTAAAGGAAAAATATAGGGTACATAGTACTTTGAAGCATTATTTTGATGTATGTTTCCCCACAGATGAAAGAAGCAGATGAAAATATAGGATCTGGCGATGGACCAGCAAAATCAGTCCGCAAAAGAAGAGTACGAAAGGACTAACTTCCAGCTAGTATTGAAGGTTACCTGGGTAGAGAAGACAGGTCTAGACATGCTATTTTGGGCTTGTCTGGCAGCATGCAGGTGGTTGAATCTTACGGTAAAAGACTGGATTCATCTTAGATTCTTGGTCTCCATTTTCCAGCCCCTCCTAATCCTGCAAGATTTTTTTCCTTTACTTGAAGAAATGCTCCTACTTGTGATGTTATTTGTTTCTTTGCTTCATAGAATAAAAGGAAAACAATGATATGCCTGATTTACTGTAAATAATTGGGGTTATTTAGACAATATATATTGTTTGGAAATAATTTTGGCTTCAAAATATTACTGTTTTAAAAGCTCATGTAAATAAGATTACATTCTCGCAGCTCTAGCACAAATATACTGCTTTTTTACACTTTAGGTTTCAAAGGAATAAACAGCTGCAGCTTTTTGAAAGATACCTCGACAGAACTGGTTGACAACAAACTCCTGTGTGGAGCTAAATGCAATAACTGTTTATTTATTACATCAAACATTTTTACTGTAATGCCTGTTTGTTATATGTTAGTTTGACATTTTGTTACAGTTGCTGCGGTTTTTGTTTTACAAAGGATCATACTGTCATTAATTGATGGAAGAGCATGTTTTACATTTAAATGCAACAATGTTCACGATACTCAAGTAAAATGGTGGACAGGAGACCTTTTCACATTTTTATAGTTTCATGTTTGAAGCCAGAATGGCAAAATCTGTTTACAAAAATTTTGCTAAGTGTATATTGCCTCCTGAATAAAAATATTTAATAGAAGCTGTTCTGTGCAATTTTAAAAGTACTTTGTAACTGAAATGACTTACCTGAAAGACTAGTCATTAAACTATAAATCAGCTTTGTCCAACCCAGTACCCTATGGATGTATTAGAAAACCACCATCAGCCATAGTGAGCATAGGCAGGGGCTACGGGAGTTAGTCCAAAATATCTATAGGGCTCCAGGGGAAGTAAAGACTGTTATAAATATTCAATTTTCTGCAATACTGTTCTCAATCTTAATTCTGATTTGTGGTATCTGTAAAATATTAGAATAACACAGTAGTGAAAGGCCAAACCAGGATTTCAGTGTCCAAAAATTGTTGGCTTTAGGCAATACTTTGCCTTGACATACTAAGCTTGTTGCTTCCGCAATGAATTGCCCCACAGACTACTAAATAAGTATGTGTTCCTTATTTCTGATCTGTTTCTCCCTTTTCATCGGTTGGTTTCATTGCAGGCTTCAGGAAAAACAAGCCATGATTTTAGGTTCAGGTATAGCAAACAAACCAGTGCTTTTAAAAATCAGAGGTTATAAACCAACCCCAAATCTTGGCTTCCAATTTGTTCAAGGTCTGGCTACAGAGCCAGCATTCTAGCAACACGTAATTTGGCTTATGCTAAGCAACAGGATTACTACTAATATGTCTGAAAGCCAAGTTCGGGCATTTTGTTTTCAGAAAATGTTTGGAAGGTACACTTTTTGTGGCTGTGGGCAGATAAAAAGGAAGATGTAATTATAGAGCAGGCATTGACATTTCAGTTTACTGTATGCTTCTATTCTAGCTTTGCTGCCAATGGACAGTTGGGCTCAAACAGAAGTTGCTGCTCTTATTTTTCTTTTTAAAGAGAAACTGGGTGTGTACTGCAGTATACAACTGAGGAGCACTGAGGCAGAAAGGGAGACTTTTGTGTGAGCTGATGTTCCCTAGAACTTAATGTTACCTCTTCCATCACCAAGGCAAGGTAACAAACTTTACTGATTGTCTCAGGAGGGAACTGCCTAGAGTGGTCCTGAGTTGACTAAATAGGCGGGATATAAATAAAATAAATAAATAAATAAAATAAATAAATAAACTGCAACCGAGGGTGTCTATCTCCGGACTAGAGCAGACGGAAAGCTCTTTAATCTCTCTAGATTGAGAGCGAAGACCAAAGTCCAACTGAAATGCATGCCGGACTTCCTCTTCGTAGATGATGCAGCCGTTGTTGCCCACTCTGCTGAAGACCTCCAACAACTCATGAATCATTTCAGCAAGGCCTGCCAAGACTTTGGACTAACAACCAGCCTGAAGAAAACACAAGTCATGGGCC